ACCACCTATCACATCTAACACAATTTTTCATCTAAACGCATATTTTTGGCTAATCGTGGTCTCTTTAGACTCTGCCTACCCTCGGGGATACAGACGTGACGCTGATGTCTATCGACCTAAAACATTGTTCACGGAGTTACGTTGTTAGTTAGACTTGATACGAGTATCATAATTAATAATAACAACAAAAGCAACTACAATTTTATCAAGTTATGTGTTTCGGTAGCATTTCAGCTAAGCTCTGATGACCGGCTGACGGCTAAAATGTATCCAACAATATCTAAGTGCTCGCAATAATTTCACAATATGGAAGCAACCCGGTGTGCGTATTACGTATCTTACAGAAGGCTAGCGATAGCAAAATTAGAACAGTAGTTGCTGATAAATCGCAGAGTCGTATTACGTACCAGCGATAAACAAGCCCTAGCTAACTAGCGACCGCAAGGCAGCGCTGTCGCTAGTTAGTTTGGTTATCGCTGATACATAATATGAATCTGCGATTTACAAGCAATTATTGTTCTAATTTAACCATCGCTAGCCTTCTGCAAGATATGTAATACGCTTACGGTTTCGATCTCTCCTGCCACCAATGAAATTGTAAATTCCAATTATAAATGCTGATTTATCACGTAAGGCGGTGAATAAAACATATTGAAAAAACTTGCATGCCTCAGAAATTAAAAAAATATTATCGTAGATGTTTAATTCGCCTGCACTCATTGGGGCAGCGTGGACATCCTTACCCTAAAACCGTCTCAGAAATGACGTGAAGAAGCCTGTGCCTAGCAGTGGCACGTGTATAGACTGAGTCTTCTTTTACTGAACTTTAATTTCACAGACTGGTGATGGCCCAACATTATTCATGTTATTCATGTAAGGGCAAATCTATCTAATAATAAATGCCAGAAGGCACATTCTTGGAAAGATTATGACCAGCAGTGCATTTAAAACTATCCTGTTTTATAGGATAAGGGTGACACGCGAGCACACAGTCCACCTGATGGTAAGTGGTTGCTGTGCCCCATAGACATCTACATCTATCCTCAATTAAGAATCAAAATTAAGATGCGTTGTCATCCCTGAGGACTAGATGGAATGCCTCGTTTGCAGTATAAAGGGACTCCGGTGCTCTACACTCACCATACGAAACACAGCAGTGTTAAGCTGCTATTTTACGCTGGTATTCTGTGAGAGTGTCTGAGTCCTTCCTCGGTCGAGCCGAACCATTCGTGCTACAACTATACAATTATATAGCTGCAGCATGGCTCTAACACGTTTAAAACGACACGAGTTTCGGGATGGTTTTCGCCGTGAGTGCCGCGGACCCCCAAACAGTCACTTCATCTCCGGGCAATCGGTGAATAATTCATAGAGCGGGCGCGGGCGTGTGTTGACACGGCGTAATTAAAAAGCCCAGCTCGCAGCAGCGAGACGCCGGCCGCCTTGTTGCGGCCCGATCTGTGTGCCAATTTTATTTCCTTTCAATAACATCACGTATCGGCGGAATCGCGGAAGGTAATGTTTGCTTTTCCCCCGACTGTACATTTTAACGATATTATTGCGGGAATTGTATTTAATTATATTCATATAAACAAACTGTAGCGGAATTTCTATTTACAATCGTACATGTATTTATTTTGTGATTCAGAAATTGTCAATATAAAATGCATTTGCAGGTTAATTGCGTTTTAAAACTATATTTTCTTCCGGCAACATTTGTTTCTCATGCTTATTAATTGAATTTACATTTTGATCTCCTTTCCCGCGTAAAATTATCAAGAAGTTGGAGCAAGACATTTCTCTAAATGTTTAACATTGCTTTCAGAATGTTGTTAGAATAAAATTCAACCATAACTTCGGTAGGATATTATTTCAAACACTTATTAAATAAATTGGAGCTCACATAAAAACTATAACCGACCTAATATTGTTTCAGATGCATATGATAGATACATCACTTCTTAACGAAAAGATTTAAGAAAATATTACTATGGTTTAAAAACGCGGCCTAAAAACATAAATAGCTGTCAACTGTGCATGTTTTCTCACAAGCTTGCTTGAAGCTCACTAGGTGGAAGGACTATTTTTGTACCTAGGAGTCTGCCTGGGTAGGTACAACCCTCTTACCATTTCTTCCAGCAGTGTCTGCACAGATGTCTTCTGGTCTAAATGGTATAGAGAGCGAATATAAAATAATACAGGCTGTAAGACATTCAATCTTAGTCCTCAGAGGAGACAATGCATCTGTAGGCTTCTTTGTTTGAAGTTGGCTGCAGGTGTTCATGGACTGCAGTAGTCACTTATCATCAGGTGGACTGTAGGTTTGTTTGTAACTTCAGTTTTATAAAAAAATAGCTTGATTGATAGTATTCCGGGGAATTGTTGGGTGTATTAGACATGTAGTGAAAAAAAAACTATTTTAGTTTTATTTGCACAAACCAAGAGGCAGCCTCATAACCGTTACGAGAAACATTTCATCTAAACGTAACAAGATCATTAGTTTAAACTAATAAAAGTAGTGGACCAAAGATCGACCCCTGTGGAATACCCATCAACATCATGAATTGATATGGTAATGGTAATAGCCGTTTATGATATCGTTTTGTTCAAGATACGTAAGACATAACAACATAAGACTTAATGCGAAGTAAAATTTTGTATAAACATTAAAAGTTAATAATGAACGTTGTCGCAATATTTAAATGTTTCGATCTTATAAAAAGTTTCAAAAACTGATGTTCGATCAAATATTATTAAGTAGATTATAAATGTATCTATTATAAATGTTAACATTAACAATATTTCAGTAAAACAGGTTGCGCTTACTGCTGTGTATAGTCGGGTTAGATTTAGTTTTAACATATGTTAGGGATTTTACTAGAACTTGTAAACTGTTTATGTACATAACATAACGGAGAATAGAATGGTTGTGGGTAAATAAGTGCTTTGATTATTGCTAATATTGAGGATATAACAAACAACTAGGATGTTTCCTTTTTTTCATCAGCCTGTGAAAGTTCATTACAGAACATGAACCTTTCTTGTAGTCGCAATAACAGCATATTAAGATATGTCCTATCATTGCATTTTGTAATACAAAAATATGATTAAACCGGTAAACCAAGACTTTAAAGGCAGCGTTGGAAATTAATTTGTTGTAAGGAGTTACAAAAATAAACCATGACAAAGCGAAGTTGACACTTCAATTAAAATTTCAATCCTTTGCAATTCTCACTCTATTATCTAATTGTAATACCGATTCTTATAAATTTTTCATTATAGTATGTAATAATAGTTCTTCTTCATCGTGTTCATTATCAGCTCATCATTCACTGTTATACATAAAACTCCACAAGAACTTCCACAAAGCACAGTCCTAAGCCGACTCCTCACTCCATGAAGTCGTAACTCTACCTAGTGAGTCACCTGTTGTGTGCTACTCATAAAAATGTATCATTAGAAGAATCTATTATCCGATTATATCCCCAATGCATATAAATATATTCGTATGAAATAAGCGGAAAGGAAAGTTCTCATATATTCATACAATATAATAAATATACAAGGTTACTTTTCAAAGAGTAGCCAAATTTTAAACTATTAACTAACTAATTCAAATATATAAATAATGATATACCGTTAATGCACTTTTTGAAAATACGAGTGAATAAGGCCTCTACTTTCATTTGAAATTATCTCAAATTGAATGTGATTTATGGGCAACAACGTTTATGTCTACCGATCGATTCTTACGAATGTCTGCGTATATATACAGTGAGATCAGTTAAAATGATGCATTACCACGCATTTTGAATTTAAAAGATAGAAGGACAGAATGTTTGAGATTTTTTTAAATTAATTTTTCTTCACCATTTGCCCATATTACTTATTCTGAACCTTCTCTGCATATTTGGCCGATTGTTGCAAAATAACCCTGTATACACCTGGACTGTGCTTTATAACGTTCCTTGGGGGAGGCCTATGTTCAGCAGTGGACTTGTGAAGAGCTTTAATGATGATAGATGAACCCTCTATAGACTGGTGAAGGGAACCAGCGTTACAGGTGCAACAGGTCTTATGCTGCAATCGTCAAGCCGCCTGCCAAGCGTGGTGGTTAACGCAAATCCACTATAAGTAAGTTCACATCCAGAAGTGGTTGATGAATAAATCAAAAGGAAAATGTTACTAGCTGATACCCGCGACTTCATCAGCGTTGCTTGATATATTAACAAAGTTTTCGAATGTCCGAAGGAAAAAACGTCAAAAAGATCGCAAGCAAATATATACTTTGCTTACAAAATCGTTGTTTCTTAAAACTTTAATAACTTAATATTAAATGAAGATGAGGCCAAGTGTCTAAGAAATAAAACTTAGAAAAGCTAATTGAAATCTATACAGTAGTTTTTCCGTGATGCGCGCACAACTGCAAACCTCTATCCATTGAGTTAGATGTACTACCATAGATTTATACTATATCTATGTGTACTACGCACTCGAGAAGCTATTCCAAACAAAAATTGTGCGCTACTCTATGTCTTCGCGCATGCGCGGGAGATAGTAGAATCGCGCATGCGCGAAGACTTTAATTGAATATAAAATAAGAAATTAATATAAAATAAATATAAGAATTTAATATAAAATACTCTTATTTTATGTAATCTAAACAAATATATTTCTAAATAAAATGTCATAATAATTATCTCATGGAATTCACAAATCTTCAATTTACGCAATATTTAGTTTAGTGTACGGATTGCAGTACAGTTCAGTTTAACATAGTCAATGTTCGGAACGCGAAATCTAGTGCGTAGTATATATATATATATGGATGGTGTGACGATATGGTAAGACATGCAGGAAGTCAATGGATAATAGAGGTTGCTCAGGAACCGTGCTTTAAGGCGTTCCTTGGAGGAGACCTATGTTTAGCAGTAGATTTGTGGAGTTGTGAAGGGCTGTAATGATAATGATGATGATTGTATTATGTTAGCAAGACTTACCTGGCAGGCACTGGTGGTTGTGCTGGTTCTGCGGTTTGCATAATCTGCAACGTGGAGTCTGGTAATGGAACCTGCTCCAATGGAGGGCCTTGCTGCATTTGCTGTAGTTGCTGGTCCTGTTGCATCTGTTGGCCCTGTTGCATCTGTTGATCTTGCTGCATTTGATGCTCCTGCTGTAACTGCAACTCCTGTTGCATTTGCACTCCTTGTTCCATTGACTGGTCCATCTGCGGCTGCGGCTGCGGCGGTATCGGGATGAGGTTGATTTGTTCGGGCGTCATTTCCTCGGCACCCGTCTCCTTCGAATCCGTCGACCGCACAGATGTGCCTGCGTTGGGACGCATCAAATGTAATAAAAATCACCAACCATAGACACGCTTGAAAAATATCGATATAACTATACTGTCTCCAAATAAATAGATATACAGACACTGAAGGCTTATATTCCAACGCTCACCAGATGTTGCTAGTTAGGACTAAGGTGAACTTATTTGTCACGCAGATGGTCATATAGTGTCATCATGTATATACGAGTATACAAAACAATGCCCCAGTGTTGTGTTCTTTAATTTCTTACACATCTTTAACTTTTTATTTCTACTACTATTAGGAATATCTGTAGTTTGGTTTATCCATTTCTAATCATATTAATAAAAAAAATACAAATATTTATTTATTAATATTTAATTTTAGAAAGAAACATTAATCTGTACACTTTTCTAAAAAAACAACTTCCCCCGCTATAAAGTCTGTCAAATATTACCTAATTCCAAAGTCTCGCCGCCTTGGTAGCAGAAAAATCATTGGAATCATATAATAATAATTACTACTAAATTAAAATTAAAAGAAAATGTTTTCCAGTTTTATAAACTACCCATAGATCACATGCGGGCCGCGGCGGGTTGCGAGTGGAGCACCGCTGTGTATCTGCGTGTCTGTGCGTGCATGAGTGTGAGTGTGTGTGTGCGTGTGTCGGTGTGCGTGCGCGTGTACCTTGCGAGCGCTGCAGGCGAGTGAGCACGCCGGAGGGCAGCTCGGGCTCGGGAGCGGGCCGCGGCGGGTTGCGAGTGGAGCACCGCTGTGTATCTGCGTGTCTGTGCGTGCATGAGTGTGAGTGTGTGTGTGCGTGTGTCGGTGTGCGTGCGCGTGTACCTTGCGAGCGCTGCAGGCGAGTGAGCACGCCGGAGGGCAGCTCGGGCTCGGGAGCGGGCCGCGGCGGGTTGCGAGTGGAGCACCGCTGTGTATCTGCGTGTCTGTGCGTGCATGAGTGTGAGTGTGTGTGTGCGTGTGTCGGTGTGCGTGCGCGTGTACCTTGCGAGCGCTGCAGGCGAGTGAGCACGCCGGAGGGCAGCTCGGGCTCGGGAGCGGGCCGCGGCGGGTTGCGAGTGGAGCACCGCTGTGTATCTGCGTGTCTGTGCGTGCATGAGTGTGAGTGTGTGTGTGCGTGTGTCGGTGTGCGTGCGCGTGTACCTTGCGAGCGCTGCAGGCGAGTGAGCACGCCGGAGGGCAGCTCGGGCTCGGGAGCGGGCCGCGGCGGGTTGCGAGTGGAGCACCGCTGTGTATCTGCGTGTCTGTGCGTGCATGAGTGTGAGTGTGTGTGTGCGTGTGTCGGTGTGCGTGCGCGTGTACCTTGCGAGCGCTGCAGGCGAGTGAGCACGCCGGAGGGCAGCTCGGGCTCGGGAGCGGGCCGCGGCGGGTTGCGAGTGGAGCACCGCTGTGTATCTGCGTGTCTGTGCGTGCATGAGTGTGAGTGTGTGTGTGCGTGTGTCGGTGTGCGTGCGCGTGTACCTTGCGAGCGCTGCAGGCGAGTGAGCACGCCGGAGGGCAGCTCGGGCTCGGGAGCGGGCCGCGGCGGGTTGCGAGTGGAGCACCGCTGTGTATCTGCGTGTCTGTGCGTGCATGAGTGTGAGTGTGTGTGTGCGTGTGTCGGTGTGCGTGCGCGTGTACCTTGCGAGCGCTGCAGGCGAGTGAGCACGCCGGAGGGCAGCTCGGGCTCGGGAGCGGGCCGCGGCGGGTTGCGAGTGGAGCACCGCTGTGTATCTGCGTGTCTGTGCGTGCATGAGTGTGAGTGTGTGTGTGCGTGTGTCGGTGTGCGTGCGCGTGTACCTTGCGAGCGCTGCAGGCGAGTGAGCACGCCGGAGGGCAGCTCGGGCTCGGGAGCGGGCCGCGGCGGGTTGCGAGTGGAGCACCGCTGTGTATCTGCGTGTCTGTGCGTGCATGAGTGTGAGTGTGTGTGTGCGTGTGTCGGTGTGCGTGCGCGTGTACCTTGCGAGCGCTGCAGGCGAGTGAGCACGCCGGAGGGCAGCTCGGGCTCGGGAGCGGGCCGCGGCGGGTTGCGAGTGGAGCGCCGCTGCCGAGGCTTCCTGAGCAGCTGCTTGTAGTTTTCAGCCTTCTTCGATAGGTAATAAAATCTGCCGTAAGCAAATATATCTCCTTAATATTTAATACAAATATGAACTTTCATAGACAACATCAGTCTTAAAATTTCAGTAAAATTTCAATGCAATGTCATAAGGTGTTTTTGTTAAATATTATAAGTGTGACAAACGAGTACACAATCCACCTGATGGTAAGTGGATGCCGCGGCCCATAGAAATCTACATTTATCTTCAATTAAGAATCAAAATACAGATGCGTTGTCACCCCTGAGGACTGAGATGGAATGCCTCGTTTCCAGTAAAACAGGATTAAGCTACTATTTTACGCTGGTATTCTTTCAGAGCGTGGTCTTACCGCGGTCGAGCTGACCCATTTGTGCTGCAACCACAATACAGCTGCAGCATGGCTCTACCACGTAAAAAAAGGCAAATAGGGAAACTTAAACAGGGAATGGGCAGCAATATGTTCCTGATAAAGAATCTACATTAAAATTTAAATAAAACTACGTTTGCCGTGACAAGTTTTCAGCAGTGGAACTTTGATAAGTTGTAATGAAAGAAATATGAATGAAGTACTAGGACTATTGAATTAACTCAAACAAGGCGATATTTCACTAGTATTAAGATAAAATATTTAAAACATTCCTAATAATGAAAGTAACAACAGGGAAAGGCTTAATACGTAGAAAGATTGTAAGTTGCATCTAAAACAGTCAAAATAAATGAGTAATACATAATACATAGAATATTCAGATTTAAAATACAACTATACAAAGATTACTTAATAAGCTATAAATAAAAATCTTACAAATTGAATCAGCACGCTTGGCAAAACGTTAATAAACAGATATTTTACAATAATTGTATTAAAAACAGTATTAGCACTAATGAGTCTAATAAACATAACAAAGAGCAGAGGACCCAATAATAAAGCCTGAAGGATTTCAGAAGAAACAAACGTCAAGCAAGAAGTTTTTATTTATAATAATTATTTGTGATCCGTTGAAAATATAGAATGCAGGTAATATAGAAAGATCACCACCAAATTTATTAAGAGTATACAATAGCATAGGCAGTGAAATATTTTGCTTCATTTTGTGATGTATTCACATTCACAGTCTTGTCATTTCCTTTATCCATTTTTCTTTTAAAACATACTATATTTATAACTGATCGATTCGTAAATAGTAAAATTAAAATAAAAAGTTCTTTAAGAATAATATTAGAACAGTTGTGGAATACCTATACGATTTTCTTTTATTTTGTTATGTTTGTTAAATTTGTTTGGTATTCAGTGTCAGGAAACTGCCATATAACTAAGTGATTTTAGTAATTATTTTTGAATAAAAAATAAAATAAAGGAACGTAGCAGTGGTAGAAATATCCTGAACGCACATTTGTTCGCACCATACGCGTCGTACGCGCCGTACGCGCCGAGTTTGACTGATGGCCTCGCACATTTGCACGTACGCATCGTCCGCGCCGTACGCAAATATTTTGTATTACCAACAACTTTTTTAGCTTTTTCCAACCACTGGTGTGCAACGGTACATTGAAATTGATCGCTCGAAATCACTATGGAAAGAAATATAGTAATAGCCTGCTTATTGGCAGAGGAAGAAGAAATAAAATTCGGAGAAAAAGAAGATTCTGGATTCATAATATTAATTTAAAAAGTGAATTGTATAGAGAATATGAAGGTGATATACTTTATTTAAAAACTTATTATATGATACTGAACGAGTTTTTAGATATTTGCATTTATTATACAAGAAATTTCAAGAAATGTTACATATACTAAAACCATATCTTTCTATGGAAAACTCAAGATTTAGAAGGCCAATTGAACCAGAAAAAAGACTTGTTGTATGTTTGAGGTATTTTTATTCATAATTAAGTAATCAGGTTTTTTTTTAATTTTTTTTAAATTAAATTTAACTATTTTTTTTTGTTAGTTCAGTATTTAAATAATTTATCACTAAGTATACATATTGATAATCGATGTAAATAAAATTCAAATTATGTATAAGTAAAGTAAAGTTACAGTTTATATACGTCCCACTGCTGGGCACAGGCCTCCTCTCATTTCTGAGAGGGTTTTAGGTCAAGGAACTGTCCGCCGCACTGCCCAAATGCGTGTTGGCGAACTTCACATGTCTTCGAAAATATGTTTTTTTTCTTTTTCTCAGACATGCAGGTTTCCTCACGATGTTTTCCTTCACCGCCGAGCACGTGGTAAATCAGCACTTAAAATTGCAATTAACAATTTCATTGGTGCCGGCGGGGATCGAACCCGGGTTGCTCGCGTATTGTGAAATTTACCGCAAGTGCTAACCATCTGAGCACAATTCATTACGAATTAATTAAAAGTTATAAAAATACAAAAATCACGTAAGTCTAAACCACCAGTTATAGTGGAAAATCCACTAAGTTGGCAACATTAGACAACAGCATGCGCCGAACGCGCCGCGTTATAATCAGCATGCGTTCTGCAATATTCGGATACCTACCGCGATAGATAATACACTATATACCAAGGAACTACCGCAGTCGGCGCGTACGGTGCGGGTGTAATGTGCGAGGTTTCATATGATTTCATACAAGGAATTCTAAAATTCGGCGCGGACGCCGCGGACAAATGTGCGATCAACTATATGGTATAGATGGTACCGTAAACCATATTTTCTCCAGTATCATTGTCCAGGTAAAAAGGAAGACGTTTGTATGGTGTAAGCGCTGCTCGGATATTCTCATTAGTCTTAATGTTGGACATGGCTATTTCTAAGGACGTTCCTACAGGAGTTACATTGTTTGAATGATTTACTGATACTCACTACACTGGGCGGTTTTATTCATTTCTTTATTTATACTTTAATACACAAAATAACTCGCAGTCAACCAATAGGCTAAACAGGGAGAGGTGGATTAGTTTGATAGTGAGCGTAGATAAATTACCCTCGCATTAGTAATTCCGTTCCCCACATCAGCACTCTGTCAGCCACCAGAGCCTCGTCCGTCAGTCAGCTGTTACATTGTTACTTCCAAAAATATGATAGTTTTTTTTAAATTAATTGAGAGTTCATAAATAAACACACCTCACGCAATCCCTGACGCTCTTTCTGGGTAGAAAGGAGGCGATCTGGCCGAAGTTCTTGGGATGCTGAAGGTACTTCTCGCGAAACAGCTCGCGCTCGGCCTGGGACCAGACGTTGCGCATCTGCAGCTCTTTGTGCTCCGTCTCCATGTCCATGCAACGAACTGCCAAAGAGAGTTTTAATTTAATAATGATAATGCAATTTCAGATTTTAATAACAAATAAAAACGATAACGCCTTCCTAGCTGTTGGTCATAAAATAAATTGAATATTCGGAAGCTGTCAACTATACAGGAGACATCGTTCTTAGAGCTACGTACGTGCGACGAGGGCGAGGCAATCACTAGTTCAAAACTAACCTAACCGTGCCTGATATGTTATAAGGTAGACGATATGCGAGCACGCGGTATTAGATATGTGGCGACAATAAGGCCGGTTCAGAAACAATCTCAAGTTTAATTAATTAAGCTCACGCTTCTCGGTGGCCCATTTCATAACCGAGTACAGGAGAGTGACGAAACCTATTAAGTGTTAATTTTTTAAATATATATTGAATAATTGAGGCAAAACAAAGCATTCCGTCTTAGTCCTCAGGGATGACAACGCATCTGCATTTCGATACTTGATTGAGGATAAAAGTAGATTTCTATGGGCCACAGCATACATTTACCATCACATGGAATGTATGCTCGTTTGTCACTCTAATTCTATAAAAAAATATTATAAGGATTTATTGGAAGAATTTTTTTTTATTTTGACGCTAAAAAGCTTTTCGGTTTCTTACTTTAACCGGCAGTTGAAAGGAAAGAGCGGGAGAATTATTTCTTCTTTTTTTGTAACATACATGATAAACAATCTAAACGCATGAACCACGTGCACTGTATTTAGCATAGTGTTTTAAGAATATTTTTTTAATGTCCGTTACCGGGTTTTGATACGGATAGCCCAAATTATATTACACAAATTCATCACTGTGTTACAAATAGAAGTTTAAACTAGAGATTGCATTTGAAGACCGGTCTTAGAGAGTCATAGGAGAGCTGAAGAGTAACAATTCGTATTTTGGCTGGTGCGGCATGGGGCTCAGGCACGGACTCAGTGTTGGTGAGCGAGCGCATCTTCTTGTCCTCGTGCTGCTGCGGTGCAGGTGGCAACAGGTGGCAGCCGGTGGCAGCCGGTGGCAGCAGGTACTCACGGTTGGTGAGCGCCGGCGGCGCGCGCTCGCGGTCGCACAGCAGGGGCGGCACCACGGTGAGCGAGCGCATCTTCTTGTCCTCGTGCTGCTGCGGTGCAGGTGGCAGCAGGTGGCAGCCGGTGGCAGCCGGTGGCAGCAGGTACTCACGGTTGGTGAGCGCCGGCGGCGCGCGCTCGCGGTCGCGCAGCAGGGGCGGCACCACGGTGAGCGAGCGCATCTTCTTGTCCTCGTGCTGCTGCGGTGCAGGTGGCAGCAGGTGGCAGCCGGTGGCAGCCGGTGGCAGCAGGTACTCACGGTTGGTGAGCGCCGGCGGCGCGCGCTCGCGGTCGCGCAGCAGGGGCGGCACCACGGTGAGCGAGCGCATCTTCTTGTCCTCGTGCTGCTGCGGTGCAGGTGGCAGCAGGTGGCAGCCGGTGGCAGCCGGTGGCAGCAGGTACTCACGGTTGGTGAGCGCCGGCGGCGCGCGCTCGCGGTCGCGCAGCAGGGGCGGCACCACGGTGAGCGAGCGCATCTTCTTGTCCTCGTGCTGCTGCGGTGCAGGTGGCAGCAGGTGGCAGCCGGTGGCAGCCGGTGGCAGCAGGTACTCACGGTTGGTGAGCGCCGGCGGCGCGCGCTCGCGGTCGCGCAGCAGGGGCGGCACCACGGTGAGCGAGCGCATCTTCTTGTCCTCGTGCTGTTGCGGTGCAGGTGGCAGCAGGTGGCAGCCGGTGGCAGCCGGTGGCAGCAGGTACTCACGGTTGGTGAGCGCCGGCGGCGCGCGCTCGCGGTCGCGCAGCAGGGGCGGCACCACGGTGAGCGAGCGCATCTTCTTGTCCTCGTGCTGCTGCGGTGCAGGTGGCAGCAGGTGGCAGCCGGTGGCAGCCGGTGGCAGCAGGTACTCACGGTTGGTGAGCGCCGGCGGCGCGCGCTCGCGGTCGCGCAGCAGGGGCGGCACCACGGTGAGCGAGCGCATCTTCTTGTCCTCGTGCTCCTGCTCGTGTAGTCCGTCAGCGATCTCTTCCAGCTCGGCCTCCGACTTGACGCGCGCCCCCAGCCGGTTGAACCTCTCGCGTTCCTCGCGCTGCTTGCGCAGCTCTGGGAATACCTACGAACATCATCACCATCATCATCATCACAGCCCTTAACGAGTCCACTGCTGAACATTAGCCTCCCCCAAGGAACGCCACAAAGCACGGTCTTGAGCCACCCGCATCTATTCATTTCCTGCATGTCTTACCAGGTCCTTACTCCATCCTATGCACGCGGTCATAAAATATTTAAAACCCACTGGGTCTCACACTGGTTCTTCACAGGACAGATACTTCTCCCGTACTAGAGGTATAATCCGTGCGCGTTCACGATAAGATACGACCTGTTGGTACTGACGAGGATTATTGCTTGTGGTTAGGTTTTTTTTATTTGGAACACTAACAGCTTTAATACATTTCATTTATTATAAAATTTAAAATTTACTTAGCTATTGAAAAAAAATCGCATATGGAAATTAAGAAAGACCACACAAGACCAGACAAAAGTGATCAATTAAAAAATACAAAAAAAAGGGGGGGAAAGGTCCAAAACTTTGTGGCACGCTTAAAATAAGGAAATCTCTGAGGCAAACAGCTTGGTGATATTTGAAAGGTTCAGTCCAAAATAATTCCAAGTATCTGTTATGTAGTAAAAGAATATTGAGAAAGTTAAGAAAGAGTTGTGACGATAATTGGTATTGCTAGAGTTTGGGTACGTCTTGTAATTTGCATGGTACCCAAATGTTAACTTGCTCTAATAAGGAAGGGCAGTCTGTGAGACCAACAATAATCTTTAACAGACACAATGTCTGATATTTGCTGGCAGTGGAGCAGTGTAAAAATATCCACTATCTCATATCATCCTATGGTTGTCGTATCAGGCGACAGAGGGAAACAGATCAGGAGATGGGCACTATGCAACTATGGCAAATACTATGGCAAATACCCCCCCCCCTCCCCCCCTCCATGAGGCAATCTATGGAGTAGGCTTATGTTTAGCAGTAGACTTTAATAAATAGGCTGTAACGGTAACTGTAATGTACTGATAATTTATAAGGTTGGATTTCCGAGAGAGTAATTGCAACACATTTAGAAACGCAATACAATATTGTAAAAAATTATTCAACTCGCATTTTAAACGTATACAATCAGCGAAGCTATTAATGGCCGTGAAAATTTGAGTGTCATTTACGTATAAAAAGACTCAAAGGCATGTTCTAAACATAAAGCAATGTCATTAATAAAAATAACAAATACCAAAGGCCTTAACAAAGAGCCATGAGGCACACCGTAAGGAATTGACATCCACGCGGACGTAAACCTATATGTTGTGACCGTCTGAGATATTACTTAATATACGACGAAAACCATCTGTATAGTTTACCGTGTATACCAGCCTTATAAGGCTTCTCGAGGAGCAACAGATGGTCTATACGATCAATAGCTTTACTGAAATCAGAAAATATAGTATCAATTTGTGCTCCTTAGTCCATTTGTAAGGTGTAATCATTAAACACTAATAGACTGGAAACAGTCTATTACACACAACCTTGTCTTAAAAATCCAAGTTGTTACGGAATAAAAACGACTATAATGCGGCATATACCTAACGATAAATTATTTCCAATATTTTGGGAAAAATGCTTAATTTGAATCATCATCATCATTACAGCCCTTCACAAGTCCACTGCTGAACATAGGCCTCCCCCAAAGAATGCCACAAAACACGGTCCTGAGCCACCTGCATCCATCGACTTCCTGCATGTCTTACCAGGTCGTCACTCCATCTCGTGGGGGGACGCCCTACACTTCGCCTGCCGGTACGAGGCTGCCACTCGAGAACCTTTCTTCCCCATCGGTTGTCGGTTCTTCGAGCTATATGGCCGGCCCACTGCCACTTCAGCTTACTAATCCGTTGGGCTATGTCGGTCACTCTGGTTCTACTGCGGATATCCTCATTCCTAAGTTTATCACGCAGAGAAACTCCGAGCATAGCCCTCTCCATAGCTCGCTGAGCGACCTTGAGCTTCCTCATACGGCCAGCAGTGAAGGACCACGTCTCAGTTCCGTAAGTCATCACTGGCAACACGCACTGGTTGTACAATTTCGTTTTAAGGTTTTGAGGTATGTCTGACGAGAAGATGTGTCGTAGCTTCCCGAACGCTGCCCAGCCGAGTTGAATCCGTCGATTGACCTCTCGGTCGAAGTTGGACTTACCCAGTCGGACTATTTGTCCCAGGTAAACATACTCGTCAACAACTTCGAGCTTAGTGTTCCCAACAACTACCGGCATAGGTGTGACATGGACATTAAACATGATCTTAGTTTTGTCCATGTTCATCTTAAGACCTATCCGTTGGGAAACACTATTGAGGTCATTGAGCATAGTGCTTAGGTCCTCCAGCGATTCTGCCATAAGGACTATATCGTCGGCAAATCGAAGGTGAGTGATGTACTCGCCATTGATGTTGATACCGTATCCTTTCCAGTCCAGAAGCTTGAAAACGTCTTCCAATGCAGCGGTGAAGAGTTTCGGGGATATGACGTCACCCTGTCTTACACCTCTCTGCAATTGGATAGGTTTCGTACTCTGGTTCTGTACTCGGATAGTCATCGTAGCCCTACTGTACAAGCACTTCAACACTTCGATATACCGACAGTCAACTTGGCACCGCTGAAGGGACTGCAGCACCGCCCAAATTTCGACGGAATCAAAGGCTTTCTCATAGTCCACATACGCCAGACATAGTGGCAAATTGTACTCTTCGGACTTCTGTACAACTTGCCGAAGGGTATGTATGTGGTCTATGGTGCTAAAGCCCTTTCGGAAACCGGCTTGTTCGGGAGGCTGGAAGTCGTCAAGTCTGCGCGCGAGACGATTCGTAATGACTCTCGAAAACAGCACGTAGACGCGGCTCAGAAGGGAAATCGGTCTGTAGTTCTTCAAGAGAGCGTTGTCACCTTTCTTGAAGAACAAGACCACCGCACTTCTGCTCCACGCCTCCGGTGTAAAGCCACCATGGAGGACGGAATTAAAGAGCTTCTGAAGGACTTCAAGTACCGGTCTTCCACCCGCTTTCAGAAGCTCCGCTGTAATTCCATCCTCGCCTGGGGCCTTACCGTTTTTAAGGTGCTGGAGAGCCATCCTAATCTCGCTCAGACTGACATCCGGGATATCTTCGGAAAAGTGTCGGATGAGACTCGCTCTTGGATCGTTACTCACACTTGCGTGTGGCTCCAACGATGATGTGTACATCTGCCCATAGAACCTCTCAATCTCACTCAAAATCTCAGGTGTCCCGGAAACGATGCTGCCACACTCTGTCTTCAGCTTTGACAGTTGGCTCTTTCTGGCAGACAGATCTCTGGCAAAGACTTTGGAGCCTTGGTTCCGCTCGATCGCTTCTTCAATACGAGCTGTATTGAAGTTGCGTAAGTCCCGCCGCGTGCATTTGGAGATCTGTCTGTTCAGATGCCTGTATGCTGTCAAGTCTGTTGAAGAATGTAGCTTCATCTCCCGTCTAACAGCCATGAGATTAAGAGTGTGATCGGAGAGTTTTTGTGTTCTTCTGCGGCGGGTTTTGCAGAACTTAGCTCCAACCGCATGGACAGTTTCCACGAGCTTGTCATTCATATCGTCCACTTCATTGCAGTCTTCCAGGCACTGAAAACGGTTTTGTAACTCGAGCTGAAAGGTTTCGGGACTTTGGAACAGAGCACGAGGGGGACGGAGCGTTGACTTCATTAGACGAGACCTCTCCAACTTAACGTTTAGGTTCAGTATGCCTCTAACCATTCGGTGATCGCTACCAGTTTTCACCCTCGCGATCACGGAGACATCACTGAACAGTTGTCGTCTGGTCGTCATAATGAAGTCAATCTCATTTTTTGTGGAACCGTCGGGGCTCGACCAGGTCCACTTCCTGTGGGGCCGCTTCTGGAAGAAAGAGTTCATCATAAAGAGTCCCTCTTTCTCCATGAAGTCGGCCAGCTGCTGGCCCCTTGGGTTCCGTTGCCCTATTCCAAATTTCCCTACTTTCAGCTCACCGTTCTCTCTTGTGCCTAGTTTTGCATTGAAGTCTCCCATTAACACCGTATATTGGGTTTTGGAGGAATGCATGGCTCTAGAGATATCCTCATACATTTCCTCCACCTCCTCATCGGGGTGTGCCGAGGTTGGTGCGTAAACCTGTATGACCTTCAGCGAATACCGTTTGGTGATTCTGAGGATAAGGTACGCAACCCTCGTCGACACACTCCCGATTTTTACAACGTTGTTAACGAGAGACTTGTGGACGATAAATCCGACACCTCCTTGGGACAGATGGTCGCCCTCCCGGTGATAGAGCAAGTTGCCGGATTCGAGGATTACCGTGTCCTCCCCCTCTCTTCAGACTTCGGATAATCCTATAATATGCCAGCGCAACTTGTCTATCTCTTCTTCCAGCTCCACGATCTTCTCGTCAGTCCTCAGGGTGCGTGCGTTGTACGTTGCCAGGTCGAGTCGTCTAAGGTGGCAACCGAACCTCCACCGGAGATTCTTAGCACCCCCTGCCCCGCCGTTACCATGGTCGCCACCGTAGCCAGGAATAGCGGGGCCGCCGGGGACTGGGGGCCGTTTTTTTGTTGCTCTCATCATTGGGGGGTATTTGCCATAGTTGCCACGCTTGGCGAGCGGGTTGGCAACCGCAGTTTTTTTATTGTAATTTGGCTACTATCAGGAAGATGCTGCTGCCCATCTCCTGGCTGTTTCCCTTTGTCGCCTTTTACGACACCCACGGGAGGATATGGGGTAGTGGATATTCTTGACCGCCACTACACGGCATTATTTTGGCTTAATTTGAATATAGGCCTGTAATTTTTTATATTAAATTGGTCGTACTTTCAATAAAAGATGGATTAAAAATAATCCATAGAATAGAATAGAATAGAATAATTTTTATTCAATATATATTACATGTGTAATTCTTATTGAAAGTCATTTTTTACTTTACCACTGGTTCGAAAAAAAAACCCTCTGTCCTGGGAAGAACCAGCAAGATCCCCAGCGGGACTTTTTTTTAAAAATAAATTTTACAATATAAATGATTATGAACTATTTACAAAATTTATTTTAGAAACTGCTTGGAAGCGACCACCTCATTCCCAGGGGTTATTATCAACCATAGAGGCGAAACTAAATGTCTACACATTGTTTTATGAAAAAAGGGATTCTTCAATAAAAGTTCGATTAAAAATAATACATAGAGGCGAAACTAAATTGTCGACACATTGTTTTATGAAAAAAGGGATTCTTCGAAAAAAGATCGATTAAAAATAATATATAGAGGGGAAACTAAATTGTCGACACATTTTCTTATGAAAAAAGGGACTATGTCATAAGGCCCTTATAAACATTTTATTGTTAGAAAGTGTAGTAAAAAATGGCCTTTACATTACCTTTTCAAAGAATTCTCGATTTCTCGCGTCCTTAGTTTTCCTCTTCTGTCCCTGTTCTATCCTCTCGACTCTGCGCATCCACTCTGCCGCTCTTCTGCTGTACTCTTCTGCTAACGCATCCTCTCGCTGTAATTAATTATGAAAACCTCGATATATTATTTTTATAGGCATAAAATCGTCAACAGTAAACTGGCACATTGATTATAGTAGAATAGGCCACGTTCACAATTAAGGGAACATGTCAGAATAGCCACACTTGGCAGGCGCCAGAGCTATCATGGGAATTTCTCCCATTAGCTAGATGGCTGGTTCTATGGCCTATGTTAAGCAGTGGAATTGTGAATTGCAGTAATACCGATGATGATGATTTATCATATAGAGCCGCGTGTTCGAATCCCGGAGGAACAAGTATCTGTATGGCCTACAAATAATTGCTCCAGGTCTGGATGTTTGTCTTCGTGCAATTAAGGTATGTTACCTGCCCTCTCGATATAGGAGAGATTCCAATTGTGGGGTAACTTCTATAAAGCAGAAGAAACCACTAAGAAGAACCATCTTGTCATAAATTTGTTTTTCTTTTACTTATTGAAAACCAGTGCTTGAATACAATTCAACCTGGTGGTAATATGAGAAATAATCGTAGATGATAAATGGTAAAAACCTATTTACTACCCTACATTGAAATTGAAAGGCGGACTCTGGCAATATATTTTTCTAGTTTTATCGTTTATATTATCTTTGACCAAAAATAAGGGCTTTTTAAGGGGTTTTCCATTGTGATAACGATAATCTCTTTATAGCTAATTTATTTTAAGACAATATATTATTATCTTTCTTCGCATTTTTTCCATTTTTAATGTAATTTTCGTAAAACTTGACGGATTGTGGATAACTCCCAGCATCACTTTATTAATTTTATTTTAGGTTAAAATATTAGTACTATTTACTTACTACAAGCATGATAATAATAGGATTCAGTCTACTGACAACTTCACTCTCTAAATGTCAATTTTCATGATAACTTCAGCATCTTCATGACACGAATATTATCTATTTTAAAAAATATTAAGCAAATTGCAAAAATAACGTAAAGGTTTACAATTTAAAAAAAAATAGGTACGTATAAAATGTTTTTAATTTGATTATTTGCAAATACGACTGTCTTTTTCTTGTATTTAAAAAAATTTCTTAGAAATAAACACATTTACGAAGCGAGGCGTTTTAAATACATAAATTCCTAATCGACAAACATTCAAATTCCGAAAAATTATTTAAAAGGCATACAAACACCTTTTCGTGTGGGATTTTAACCCGTGGCTCTACTGTAGTGTAAAATTACAACCTACATACATCCCATTGCTGGGCACAGGCCTGTTCTCATTACTGAGAGCGTTTTAAATCAACGAAATGTCCGCCGCACTGTCACGCCACATAATGCGTGTTAGCGGTCTTCACGTATTCAAAATATTTTTGTTTTTGTATTTTTGACCCCCACAATAGTGAAGTTAGCCATTTCACTGTCCCACGGAGTCACACATGAATATTTCTATTGGTATGAATGTTTTGATCTTATGTGTCTTTATATTGCGTCTTTTTCACGGACAGGGAAGTTGTATTTTTATTTTTGCCCCACAATATTGCTGTTAATATTACGTGCACAGTATTATTAATAGCATCGTTAGTATTACTCATGAGGTACATTTTTTTAAATAGTGGGTGTTTGTTATTAAAAATAAGTGTGTGGTACCTTCTCGGCCTCTAGTTTTATCCTGCGTATGTGTTCCGCGAGCCGCTTCCGGAAGACGCGGTGCTTGCGTATGTTGTGGTGGTAGACCTCGGTGTCCTGCGGCTGGTTGTACAGCGGGTACAGCGCCGCCGGGCCCAGCGCCGCCAGCGCAGCGTGAGCGGCCGCCGCCTGCGAGACACTCGCACGTTACTCGCTACTTACTACCAACTTACTCAAAAAATAACTTAAACTTACAGCATTTTTTTATAGAATAAGGATAATAAACGAGCTTGCAGTTCACCTAATTGTAAGTGCAGCAGAGTATGGCAATAAAGACTACAATAATCAAAGACACTGAAATTTTTTAGAACTGGCCACTTGTAAACGATATAATAAGAAAATTAGTTCAAATTTTGAAAATGGAACTCTTTGCCAATATTATTGTGTATGTATTTTATTAATTTGTCATTTGTGTACGATTTCGCGGCAAATTGAAAATTGTTTTTCTCACGTCAGCATGAATTTACGCGAGAAAATTTTCGTACAATGATTTTTTATGACTTTTGATATCATTTAAGTCAACAAGAAAGTTATGATAGACTTCGATTGGCCTTTCACGATGAAGCCACATCTCATGCCACTGTTAACAACTGGTTTAATGAGTTTAAACGTGGTCGTACTAATCTCACCGATGATCTGCGTGAGGGACGGCCTTCTACGGCGACGACTGAAGGTAACATCAGTGTTGTGCGGCGTATGACAGAGACTGACAAAAGAGGGACTTATCAGCAGATTCTGACAAACATAGGCATCAGTATGAGTTAAATGCACAAAATCCTTCATGAACCTTTAGCGGTCAGGAAACTTTATTCCCGGTGGATAATTCATAATTTGACATAGGCCCAAAAATTCCGTCGTGTTTATTGATGTCTTGTAATGGTTCAAAGATTTAACGGAGGTGACTCAAATGCTGTGTTTTACATACTTACGGGTGACGAAAGCTGAATTTATTGTTATGATCTTGAAACTAAGAGACAGTCTGTTGTCTGGGTGTTTCCTTCCGAGGAGTTGCCAACTAAAGTAAAGAGATGTCGAAGCGTGAGAAAAAAAGATGGTGCGAGGCCACCATCCTTCTTCGGAAGGACAGGTCAAATCGAAAAACAGTTATTGCAGAGTGGTACACTAACAATTGTTTGCCAATTGTCTTGGGAAAAGTTCGGGAGAAACGACCTCGCAATAGGATCCTCCTTCACCACGTCAACGTCTCGTCGCACACCGCCAAGCAAACAATCGACTATTTGGCGACGTCAGACGTGGAAATACTGGGTCACCCGCCCTATAGCCCCAACTTCGCACCTTGCGATTTTTATTTATTTCCGAAAATAAAAGAAAAACTTTGAGTAAAACGTTTTATGGACGCCGAAGAAGCAGTGGCTGCGTTTCAAAATGCCGTCTAAGAGACCCCTATGGACGAGTGGGCAAAGTGCTTTTCTCAGTGGTTCCATCGGATGCAGCGATGTATTGATGTAAATGGACACTATTTTAGAAAAGATATAATAAAACTAATCTCGTAACTTGCTAGTTTGTTCACTTTTTGATTTTCTAAGAACTTTCAGTGTCACCCTCGTATGTACTGCTAGACGGGTTCTGCGGCTATAATACATTACGCAACAGCAGCAGTTAATTCACCGAAACTATTTTAATCGACTGCGAGCCGACGCAAGGACTTCTTTGTTTTGTCAACTGCGAACGTTGTTTTCGACAATTTAACACAGTTTTTGTTTTATGGGACTAAGAAAACGCCCTCATGATTTATGTGCATACTTTGTCAACGTCATTTGAAGAATTTTTCAGATAAGTATGTAACTTTATTTTGTATTTGCTTATAACAGTAACTTTCGTAAATGAAAATTACATCTGCGTGGCATATTTACCATGAAAGATACGTGTCCGCGCGATCCACAGCTGTGCTGTGACGTAATTTTTGTTCGGAATTACCAGTCTTGTAGTATACATAGAAGTCTTTGTAAATTGTAGTCTAGTGGTGTACATAGAAGTCTTAGTAAATTGTAGTCTAGTGGTGTACATAGAAGTCTTTGTAAATTGTAGTCTAGTGGTGTACATAGAAGTCTTTGTAAATTGTAGTCTAGTGGTGTACATAGAAGTCTTTGTAAATTGTAGTCTAGTGGTGTACATAGAAGTCTTTGTAAACTGTTGTCTAGTGGTGTACATAGAAGTCTTTGTAAATTGTAGTCTAGTAGTATACATAGAAGTCTTTGTAAATTGTAGTCTAGTGGTGTACATAGTAGTCTTTGTAAATTGTAGTCTAGTAGTATACATAGAAGTCTTTGTAAATTGTAGTCTAGTGGTGTACATAGAAGTCTTTGTAAATTGTAGTCTAGTGGTGTACATAGAAGTCTTTGTAAATTGTAGTCTAGTGGTGTACATAGAAGTCTTTATAAATTGTAGTCTAGTGGTGTACATAGAAGTCTTTGTAAATTGTAGTCTAGTGGTGTACATAGAAGTCTTTGTAAACTGTTGTCTAGTGGTGTACATAGAAGTCTTTGTAAATTGTAGTCTAGTAGTATACATAGAAGTCTTTGTAAATTGTAGTCTAGTGGTGTACATAGAAGTCTTTGTAAATTGTAGTCTAGTGGTGTACATAGAAGTCTTTGTAAACTGTTGTCTAGTGGTGTACATAGAAGTCTTTGTAAATTGTAGTCTAGTAGTATACATAGAAGTCTTTGTAAATTGTAGTCTAGTGGTGTACATAGAAGTCTTTGTAAATTGTAGTCTAGTGGTGTACATAGAAGTCTTTGTAAATTGTAGTCTAGTGGTGTACATAGAAGTCTTTGTAAATTGTAGTCTAGTGGTGTACATAGAAGTCTTTGTAAATTGTAGTCTAGTGGTGTACATAGAAGTCTTTGTAAATTGTAGTCTAGTGGTGTACATAGAAGTCTTTGTAAATTGTAGTCTAGTGGTGTACATAGAAGTCTTAGTAAATTGTAGTCTAGTGGTGTACATAGAAGTCGTTGTAAACTGTTGTCTAGTGGTGTACATAGAAGTCCTTGTAAATTGTAGTCTAGTGGTGTACATAGAAGTCTTTGTAAATTGTAGTCTAGTGGTGTACATAGAAGTCTTTGTAAATTGTAGTCTAGTGGTGTACATAGAAGTCTTTGTAAACTGTTGTCTAGTGGTGTACATAGAAGTCTTTGTAAATTGTAGTCTAGTAGTATACATAGAAGTCTTTGTAAATTGTAGTCTAGTGGTGTACATAGAGGTCTTTGTAAATTGTAGTCTAGTGGTGTACATAGAAGTCTTTGTAAACTGTTGTCTAGTGGTGTACATAGAAGTCTTTGTAAATTGTAGTCTAGTAGTATACATAGAAGTCTTTTAAATGATTATTATTTGAGAAGAGTAGTAAGGCGCACCTTCTTGCGGTTGTCGGCGTAGATGCACTGCGGCAGGCTGCGGTGGCGTGGCGGCGCCTCCTCGGGCTCGGGCGCGCGCACCGGCTTGCTGGCCGTCTGCTCCAGCTCGCGCGCCTTCTTGCGCAGCTTCAGCAGCGTCGTCTCCGACAGCGCCATCTCGCGGTCCACCTGCACAACGACCACCGTCAACATCCTATTAACATATACATAGTGCGTACGAGACGGTAATCCGGCACGACCGGAGGATAATCAAGCGTAGGACCAAAGGCTTTACGTGCTTTCCGAGGCACAGTAGCGAAACACCGCCAACTTTCAGCTGCTTCTGCGACTTTTTTTGACAGAGAACCCAATAACTAATTTAAACCCGACCCGGGATTTGAACCCGGGACCAAATGATCGGCATGTGCGACCCCTAGACCAACAAAAAAGTCAACCCGGTAGAATAGATCAATAACGTTACCTATTTGCTTATGAAAAAAATTGTAATCTTAGTTTTAATATTTTATTTTTATGGTTGATGATAAATACAAAAACAAAATTTGAAATAGATTCAAATGTAATGCGATCACGCCAACCGTAACCTTTAATCTTACCTTTATCTAAAACCTCAAAAGAAATCCAATACCATTGAAGAAGAACTACTTTCATTTTAGATTCAAATATAATATTACTATAAGAAAATCTCACAATAAAGTATTTCGGATTAATAGCATCGGTAGCTAATAAATATATCATTTAGCAAGTATTTGAACGTAACATGACATTACAGGATTATTAAAAAAATGCATTTACGGAGTTTGTGTCCCGTCTGTTATCTCTCAGGGGTAGGCGAAGTCTAAAAAGCGAGCTACTAGGACCATGTATATACAATACAAATAAGTTTAGAAGGAAAATTGTAAAAGATCGAAAAGTGATAGGTAGCTAGCCCATCGCCTACACAATCCCTTTAGTCGCCTTTTACGATATTCGAGACAAGTAACACAGAAGCAGGTTTTTTTTTGTTATAAGACCTATATAAACACGGTACATATAAGTCCTAGACCAACATCGCAAACTAACATTAGTCAACAACCAACAGCAACCAAATGGAAAATTGTATTAAATCGATATTTCCTTTTTTTCCCCCTTGTATTGGGGATTTTTATCTGAACGACATGCCAATCCCATTATACCTTATACTAATTACTGCTAACACTATAGAACAAAATATAAAAGTACAATTATGAGTACTATTTAAATTATTATACTAAAAATACTCTTTCTCTAATAAAATCCGTCTTATTAGCAAACCGGAATAACTCTCTTCGCACCCATGGTACCATGATACCATAAGCTATATAAGATATATAAGATGATAAGCATTAGATATAGGTTTGATAAAAACATTTGCACTAGTTACAGATCCAAAACATTTGCGTTAAACTAATTCAGCGCAGCCTATCTATCTTCAAATCGATATTTCTAATCCCTAAATTACTTAATGTATACAAGTCATGTTTGTTCATAATAAACAAAATTTTCAGCGTAATATGCACCTTAGATATTTGCTGAAGCAAGTCATCTTTCGTCGTCCGGAAGCTCTGATCTTCTACCGTCGGCTCCGATGGCGGATTCGGTGACAGCACCTCCACAATATTGTACACCGGCTCCTGAAACGTTAAACGCAGTTGTTATAAAGTATGCAATGCCAATTTACGAGACGAATCTTAGAGCGGAATGATGAAATATAATAATCAAAGACGGTCTAGGTAACAACATATATGAACACGGGTGATAATTTTGACATTGGTATGCATGGTTAGTTTTATTCGGCTTATATTAAACATTAATATGGCTAGCTGTATTCGATATCGTCACGGTAAGCCAGGCCAGGTCTCGTTCTATTTTGCTCTTCATCACCACAATCATCAGTTTGTAAGTTCACGGTTCGGTCAAACAGGTTACAGTTATGATACCCATTGAACTGATTGTACATTTTCTTATGCCACCACACCTCTGTAATTCTAAGGCTGAGATCTATAGACCGTACTTTGACTTTTCTCAGACTTTACTTTCGAGCTAAGACCACGACGATATTTATAGAGCTAACTTTGAAGTCGAGCTAAGTGCGCGCTTAGCAAAGCCTAAGTCAACAAAATCGATGTTTTTATGTTACTATAATTATTTATAACAATAAATAGGTAGTTTTAGGCTGTCTTCTAGTATTAAATAGCATTAATCCACTTTCTATTCATATAATTTTAAACTTATTTCGAATTTCTTAAAACCTTACTTTTTATTTTTTTTCTGATTTTGCACTCTTCTCATCCGTTCCCGTTCTCATATGGCCATTTTCTATTTCATATAATAATAACTTATTTATGAAATACAATTTGAACTGATATCGATTTTTAAATTAATATTTTATTTTATTTTCTACAATAAAATCAAGAACATAATGTGTGGAAAGCATCTCTAAATTTTTTGACAGTCTGGGCTTTAGCATAAGCTTAGCTTATTCTTAGCCCGATACTATATAATATAACTATAAATGCAAAACTAAAGAGTATGCGAAGCCTATACACAGATAAGTTTTTCGTAAGTAAAGTCTGAGCAAAGTCAAAGTACGATCTATAGATCTCAGCCTAAGTCACAAATTAAGTTTAATAAAAAAAGAAAACAAATTAAGTATATATGCCTGTTCTGGCATATAACAATAAAACCACAAAAGTAAACAATAACATTACTTAATTTGTAACTATGGAAATTCCACAATTTAAATATCATGTCTAAGTACAATCCTATTTACCTCATCACCTATCCATTACCCTATTTCGTGCCGCGGATGTCGTAAGCGGCGACTACGGGTAAGTTTATAAAAATTCTCATAACCTAACCATTGATGTCGGTATCACCGTCTAGTGTAAGCCAGATGTAAAATATCGTATGTGTGATATCTTGAGTACCTACTGCGATTACAAAGCCATATGCAAAGCATAATGATTACAGAAAATTCTGTTTACAATTGGAGACTGTTTACTGTTAAAGGGTTGCTTTTTTATATAGAAATATAGATGGCAAACGAGCACATAGTCCATCTGATGGTAAGTGGATGCTGTGGCTCATAGGCATCTAAATCTATCCTCGTTTTGGAATCAAAATGCAGATGCGTTGTCACCCCAGAGGTCTAGAAAACCAGTATAACATAGCAGCATTAAGCTGCCATTTTATGCTGGTATTCTGTGAGAGCGTGGTCTTACCCCGGTCAAAACGACCCAATCCTGCTATAACTATATGTTTATATATTTTGGGCAAGGAAACGCCTTAGCTTACACATTAAATATCTGTGACATGGAGTACGAACGACGAATTACGCTATTAACAGATTAAAAAGTGTTTCTCAATTAAAAAATGTAAGATATCTAATCATACACGGACCATAACAATTAAACCCGATCGTACGAACAAAACTCAACCGACATATATAAATACACGAAAAGATTAGCAAACTAAAATTGTTTTAAGGAATAATAAATAACTGGAAACAACTGCTTTAAATTAAAATGCGTTAGCCCAATGTGTTTGCATGTCTTAAAATCTAGTAGGGGGGCCGTTGTACACTTTGTTTATCAGTACGAGACTGCAAGAGAAACTTTTTTCTCCATCAGTCGTCGGTTCTTCGAGCTATATAGTGACCCGTTGCCACCTCATTATTTCGTTCCGTTGGGCTTTATCGTTTACTCTGGTACCGTTGCCTCCTCATTCCGGATTTAATCACACAGAGAAACTTTGTGCATAACCCCCGCTATAGCTCATTGAGTGACCTTGAATTTCCTTATATGACCAGCGGTGAAAGTCCACGTCTCATATCTATATACCATGACGGTTTATAGAACGATTACGAAACTCAAAAATCAGCGAGGAGTCACTAGCAATACTTATTTTTTGGAGGATGACTACTTAACTTCATTATTTAATTGAAAACTGGACTCATATTGAACATTTTATAATTAAAACTAGCAAACTATGGTGTTCTTAGATTGTACTGACCCGCGTATCGACACGCAACTGTGGGTGATGCGTGGCAGGTCGCTCGGCGCTGAGGCGGATCTTCTTGAAGGGCGGGGGATCCGCGGGGGGTGGATGGTGTGCAGGGGGCGCGGGGGGCGGCAGGTATGCGCCCCCCAGCAGCGACACGCGACCGCCACCGCCGCGGTATTCGCCACGCCCGTAGCTGCCATCTCTGCAATACAAACATAATCTTTTATTTTATCTGCAGAAAACCAAAAGCAGTACTAAAAATGTAGCGAATAACAGGTGTTCCTTTGCAACCTAAAAGTAGGGCGTATGTAGGGTGTAGTTAGCAACTGCTCCGAGGCATTTTCCAGGCAGCAATTAGTAAATATTAAAACTTTTAATTCACATAATAATACAGCCTCGACATTTAAATTTCGAATACGGTTCGCTTGAGTACTATTAAATTTAATGGCAAACGTTTATCCCTTAAGACTTAAGGGCTTAGCTTAGAACCTAAGTTACCACGGCACCACTAACTAAAAACGTTCATATATCATTCCATCTTAGCCCTCAGCGGTTTGATTCTTAATCGAGGATAAATGTAGATGTCTATGGGCTACAGAATCCACTTACCATCAGGTGGATTGTTTGATCGTTTGTCACCCTTAGTCTATAGCGAACAAGTGTCCACCGCGCTGCCCCAATGACTTCAAATCACATCCCAATATTTTGTCTTCATGTCAAGCACGTGGTAAATCAGCAATTTAATGTGTAATTGACAATTTCGTCGGTGTCGGCGGGCGATCGAAGCTAGGTTGCTGGCGTACTCTGAAATTTACAGCGACCGTATAGTCCCTGAGACACCACAGCCCATAAGAATATAATTAATTAATTATATAACGTTGTCAGCACGCAACTTTATTTCTGGGCATTTTCTTCTTCCATTGTAAGAGTTGCCGTAATCGCAACGTTTGACAGACAAATTAGCTAAAACATTATTGTCTTTAACGTAGATCGCTAATTTTCGTCTGGCATAGAGATGGCTATAATATCTTCTATCGGAAGCCATAACCATTTAACGAAATTTCAGGGATTTTTTTCTGAAAGCGTAACGTGTTGGCCCTTCGCTCTATACAACTTCACCAGAAGAGACTCGTGAGTTTGGACACGCGATTTACTGAATGCGAAAATGTTATCGACGCGGTTTGCAGTTCGATAGCTAGGGAAGGTTCGATGTAATATAAAATTGTCTTATCTTGCGTACATGTTGGAGATCCACGTTCTTCACGTGATACGGGGCAAGAATTAGCTTTGTAAACTTGGGAATTTCTGAAGACGTTTTGCGGGATATGGGCAAAGGATACACCGGCGTACGTCATGATAGGTAGGCTTCGTCTTAGGGACATGTTACTGTGGCTATACGTAATGACGAAAAGGCGATGCGAAACGAAGGTCGCCTTGTTCCTATCTCTTTTTATGTGGTGGGAAAAACTCATTATATGATCCGTGGTAACCCACAGGTACCTTGGATCATTTACACCTTCATTACCCAAGGAATTTTTACGTGGGAGAGCCATGCTGCAACTATATTAGTTGTAGTACGAATGGGTCGACTCGACCGGGGAAGGACCACGCTCTCACAGAATACCAGCGTAAAATAGCAGCTTAATGCTGTTGTGTTTCGTATGGTGAGTGTAGAGAACCGGAGACCCTTTTTACTGGAAAAGAGGCATTCCATTTTAGTCCTCATGGGTGACAACGCAACAACAATCTACATTTTGATTTGTAATCGATGATAGATGTAAATGTCTATGGGCCACAGCAATCACTTACCATCAGGTGGACTGTGTGCTCGTTTGTAACCCAATCCTATAAAAAAAAAATTGGGAAATTGTCGACGTTGATCGTCTTACACATATTAAAAGTTATACTGTTATTTCAGTATTTATAAAAACAAAACTTATATAAAATATCCGACATAATGTCACCAAAAACGCTGTGGTTTAATTTATAACAGAATTTAGGCAATTGCCACGTTGCCATTCCACATTATTAACCTTTCTGGTGGGGTGCTTTAAATAATGGACATTAATTACGACAGTTATAATTCGTGCATGACTGTGAAATCGGGGCGCGCTGCAATGCTGCAATGCTCCTCAAAATGTCAGCCGGTACAACAGTCGCCTGTTGCGACCGCGTCGCGTTCATTATATAAAAAAAAAGTTAAACGAATGAGACAGATTTATAATGAAGCATTCATTCCGAAGTACCAGAACGATGTAATTAAAATTTAAATAAAACTGAGGTAACATACGAATCAAAACCGCGATGGTTCCAACTTCAAACAAAGAAGGCTACTGATGTGTTGCCACTTCTGGGAACTAATATGGCATAACTCACAGCTTGTAATCATACTGGCTCTCTACATATAAAAATTGCTCTATCTTTATATATAAAAATTACGTGTCACGTTGTTTGTCCGCAATGAACTCCTAAACTACTGAACTGATTTCAATGAAATTTTGCACACTGTGTGCAGTTTAGTCCAACTTGAGAGATAGGATAGCTTTTATCCCGATAAGTGACCCTCAATATTTTTTATTACGATATAAGGATTTTTATAGGACAAAGGGCCGTCGGAGAGGGCAGAACAACGTCTGCCTGGCCAGCTAGTAATACATAAAAATATATGGAGTGGTTTAAAATAACGCTGAGTTGAGACTTCGAATTCAAAAAAATCTTTACGGTCTTTATGATATTATAAAAAAAAAAACTTAACTGTGAATACAAACTAACCAGTATAATTGCAAACTGTGAGACATATCATCTTAGCACCAAGAAGTGACAACGCATCTGCTGTGGCATTCTTGTTTAAAAGTTGGTGGGGAATGTGAATGAGTTCCAGTGTCCATTAACAAACATTTTAAACGTGGTAGAGCCACGCTGCAGCTATATTAGTGGTATAGTTGTACCATAAATGGCTCGGCTCGACCCGAAATGGACCACGCCATCACAGAATAACAGCGTAAAATAGCAGCTTAACGCCTATGTTTCGTATGGTGAGCGTAGAGAATCGGAAACCCGTTTTACTGGAAACGAACCACAAGCATTCCATCTTAGTTCTTCCGGGTGACAACGCATCTTCATTCTGATTCTTAGTCGAGAATAGATGTCTATAGGGCACAGCAACTACTTACCATCAGATAAACTGTGTGCTAGTTTATCACCTTCATCCCATAAAAAATTAAAAAAAAAAACAATCAGGTGGGCTTTGGTTTTATAGTCATATTATAAATAATCCTTAAAAACCGAGAGGACAAAATACCAGAATAAAAATAATAGCCCTATACAGTAATTATTACGCTTATAATAAGACCTAATATTTATGCGGCAAAGCCGCAATAAAATATAATTACAAGTTTAATTTAGCACTTTTAGTTATGAATATAGTTGATTGTAATTGAAATAGAAACCTGGTCCGCTCCAGCCTCCAGCAGTGACAGAAGAAGTGTAAAGAAAATATCATAACGTTTCCTCCAAATGTTAATCATACTTGCACGCGGTGCACCCTGGTGTACAGACGAGGGTCTTACGACCAACCCGAGAATGCCGATCTTGAATCCTAAACTACCCATGATGATTTAACATCATCACCGGTGCCTTGGTTTCATCTTTGTGGTCACAAATCCGCTTGCCTAAGATGGTGAAAATAGTTTACTCATTCAAGAAAATCATGTCAGATAGCGCATAGTGGAAAATCGTATTTCCCAGACGGTAATTTAAAAACGTAACAATAATTAAACTTTTTAACATGATGATAAATAAAAAGAAATCAAAATAAAAGCAGCTATTAATATAAACCATGACAATATGACAAGTAATAAACATCTGTCATCACTTATTATTAATTGTAATTCGGACTTCTGAAACAAAATAACGATGGACCAAAAATACGCTCCAAATAATAAAGAAAACTAATAAGTCATCTCGAGAGCTTTCAGAGGAAAAATGGTCCTAAGAGATCCATAAAAATAGCATGATCACCACAAATTTTAATAAATCATAAAGACAAATCTGCTTCTCCATTAGCACATTGCGACTTGTTATGAATCCTACAATAAAATGAACAACGAACTTCGTATTTTTTATGCAAACACTAGTTGCCAAAGAAGTTGTTTAATACCATATATGTGCGAGATTATTAAATCTACATCGAATGACCTAATATGGTACGTTTTTGATTCAAACAGGCTTATATTTAAATGCTTCTGTGTGTTACTGTCATAGACATAGAGTTATTACGTAATAATTCAATGGTTACTGTGTTGTGGCGGCTTAAGAAAATCCTTCGCCTGATTTTATTCCATGGGTATCGTATGAGGGGACTATGGAAAAAAGCCAGAAAAAATCTTATGAATGCAGTTAGATGGTAGTTTACCATTTTGTTTACGTCAGTCTTGTGATACGCCGACCGGAGACCGGTTCGAATCAAGCTCGGAACAAGTGTTTGTATTGCATAAAGCAATTGTTCCGGGCTTAGAGTACACATTCTTACTGTTTTTATAGAATAAGGGGGACAAACGAGCGCACAGTCCATCTGATGGCAAGTGTATGCTTTATATATGAGTGGATATCGTTGTTATCCTTGAGGTGTCTTCGGACACTCACCATATGAAACGCAGCATCATATGGTGAACAACAGTAATTTTACGTTGGTATTCTGTAAGAGCGTGGTCCTTCCCCGGTTGAGCCGACCCATTCCTGCTACAATCATAATATAGCTGTAGCATAGTTTTATCATGTAAAAATACTTAATTACTTTATGTATACTCTAATGTTCAATACATTCAATACATCATTATAATAAAAATCAATTCTTTGACAGCAGTACTACATCTATAAGATATGTGGGTCTGACTGTCTGACATAGGATCACTATAGCTACATTTGTATTTTGTTACCGAGCAGCAGGCGACAATTTAAATATTATTATCATCCACTGGTATGCAAATGGAAGGTTTTTAAGATAAATATAATTCACTAGCCGCAAATACGAATATATTATACTATCCATATCAAAATTTATTGCATTTGCTAAATATTAAATGTGTAATGTGTAACCGGTGACCTTTATAAAAACAGATTTCTGCAACTTTACCCATTGTAACAGCCTATCAAAAGTCCACAGACCTCCCACATATATAGCCTGTCAACTTCATCATCAAC